ATAAATCTTTGATTTATAGATAAGAATATATAAATAATAAAACCCTATACTTGGCCCAAAGCTGTTTTCAAATGTTTCCTTTGTTGCTTTACTTAGAAATAATCTTGGTCACTCAAATTGTTCATTAATTCAGTGAATTGAACATTGATACAGTTCTATAAATGATCTCAATACTGCTACTTAATGTCATATACATACCAACACAATTTTGTTGATATTAGAATTTTATAATAGAAATGACATTCAAAGGTTTTCCTAAAATGTGTAAGTTCAGTTCTGAATAAAAACGATTCACAATATTACTATAGTCTGAAAAATCTATTCTTTGTTATCATATAATGTTATTGAATATTAAGTATATATTATTATATCCTTGACTACCTTAGAAAGAATAACTCAACCAACATACGAACTGTTGCTTTATTTTACAGAAGAGCAGTATTCTGAAATGTCAATGCAAATGTATCCCCAATAAAGCATGCAAGAGTTGCAATTCCAATGCCATCTAGAAGCCAAAGTGTCTTACACTAGGCTGCACTCTCTTGCACTGATAGCCACAGATGAACACCTGTGGGAATTGGTCTACATGAAATTACTATCTAAACACAACAACCCATAAAGCAGTGCCCTTGTCATCTCCATTTTACATAGGAGGGCAACCAACACTCAGAAATCTGTACACGTTTCACTGAATATCAAATAAGCAAATGATTGGGGAAGGGGAGCAAACAAAGGCAATATGACTCCAAAGCCAATGATTTTAAATGTTACGTACCACTATTCACGAGCAGTCAACTCCATTCTAAACTCTGTGGGACAGATCCTTATGGTGGGAGGGTTACCATCATTGGTCCACTCTGGGCCACAAGTTCTCATTAATGATATTTTAGACAAACATGATCTGGATGCACATTGTAGGCCCTTCTAACTGAGTTAATCCAGCCATATGTCTTGGTATCATGTGTCTTTGATAATCAAAATTTTAATCTGTGCCTAATAAAATATACCTTAAATATTAGGAGTCATGTCAAAACCAAAG